TAATTCTTGGGTTCCATAGTGGATTTAATGTAAATTAGTTTCATATTAATATTTTTTATATAGAGATAATCCTATATATATTAATCCTGTTATAATTTATATTCATCACCTTCTGGTATGATAATGGGAACATTAAAATTAACAAGTCCATAATAATAAGTTATGAATGAGCACCATTATTACTTTTCAAAACACACTGGTCAATTTTACAACCACATCATAATCAGCCACTCATTTATAGAATGTTCACTTTGTCTGGTTTTGTTGCAGTCTGCCCCATATGACTCGACCTTCTCCCTTATTTTTTTCTTTACTTCTGACTCATTTCCGTAGACAATGTACACTTTATTTCATGCTTTACTATTACTATATCCTTTTCCATAAAACTCAAGCACCTTTTTAATATCAGCTTCTACCCCAATTCCATTTTCATAATACATACCAAGAATATCTTGCATAATATAAATAATAAGGATCTCCTTTTTAGCTCCTAATTGACACAAGTTAGTTACAAGACTAATGTTAAGACCTAATCCAGTTGTTTTGCTATAACAATAATGCCTGTTTTTAACTTGCACTGACAAATGTGCTTGTTTTAGCATTCTGGTAATAACTCAACTGCTTTTTGTTCATCTTTTTCTACTCCAATTCCATCCTTATAACATATAGCAAGGCTATCTTGTGCATTGGCAAACCCTTGTTCTGCTGCTTTTTTATACCATTCAACTGCTTTTTGTTCATCTTTTTCTACTCCAGTTCCATTAGCATAACACCAACCAAGATTATATTGTGCATTTGCAAACCCTTGTTCAGCTGCTTTTTTATACCATTCAACTGCTTTTTGTTCATCTTTTTCTACTCCAGTTCCATTAGCATAATATACAGCAAGATTATATTGTGCCTTAGCATGACCTTGTCTAGCTGCTTTCTTATACCATTCAACTGCTTTTTGTTCATCTTTTTCTACTCCAGTTCCATTAGCATGATATACAGCAAGATTATATTGTGCCTTGGCATGACCTTGTCCAGCTGCCCTTTTATACCATTCAATTGCTTTTTGTTCATCTTTTTCTACTCCAGTTCCACTGTCATAACATACAGCAAGATTATATTGTGCATTGGCAAAACCTTGTTCTGCTGCTTTTTCATACAATTCAATTGCTTTTTGTCCATTTTTTTCTACTCCAGTTCCACTGTCATAACATATAGCAAGATTATATTGTGCCTTGGCATCTCCTTGTTCAGCTGCCTTTTTATACCATTCAACTGCTTTTTGTTCATCTTTTTCTACTCCAATTTCATTAGCATAATATACAGCAAGATTATATTGTGCCTTGGCATGACCTTGTCCAGCTGCCCTTTTATACCATTCAACTGCTTTTTGTTTATCTTTATCTACTCCAGTTTCACTATTATAACACATAGCAATGTTATATTGTGCATCAGCAAACCCTTGTTCTGCTGCTTTTTTAAACAATTCAACTGCTTTTTGTTCATCTTTTTCTACTCCAGTTCCATTAGCATAACATACAGCAAGATTATATTGTGCATTGGCATCTCCTTGTTCAGCTGCTTTTTTATACCATTCAACTGCTTCTTGACCATCTTTGTTTACTCCAGTTCCATTAGCATAATGTACACCAAGATTATATTGTGCATTGGCAAACCCTTGTTCAGCTGCCTTTTTATACCATTCAACTGCTTTTTGTTCATCTATTTCTACTCCAGTTCCATTAGCATAACATACAGCAAGGTTATATTGTGCATTGGCAAACCCTTGTTCAGCTGCTTTTTTAAACAATTCAACTGCTTTTTGCTCATCTTTTTCTACTCCAGTTCCATTAGCATAACACCAACCAAGATTATATTGTGCATTGGCAAATCCTTGTTCTGCTGCTTTTTTAAACAATTCAACTGCTTTTTGTTCATCTTTTTCTACTCCGGTACCATTAGCATAACATAGACCAAGATTATATTGTGCATTGACATATCCTTGTTCAGCTGCTCTGTGCATGTTGGTTCCCTTTTTCATTCTAGAATAACCATGCACGAGTATGTATTAGTATAGTGAAAAAAATTTTTTTCAGCGTTATTAATTTTTCGACAGATGTAGTGTGACGGGGGGTAGTGTAACGGGGGTTTTAAATGTTACACATATTCTGACACATTAGCAGCCATGAATATTGTAATTCAGTAAGCTGTGAAGTAATTTGGAAGTTAGCTGGTTGCAAGCACTTTTGGCGCTCTGTTGTAGAAGACTTTTCGTTTCTATTTATCACAAAGCGAGCGTATGAGCGCTTTTGAACATGTCTATGCCTACTATCATGGCGCTTCCGTTGTATCCGAGCAAGAGCGATACCAAGTTCGAGTAAAGACCTGGATGTAGGTGGCAAAGTTTTATGCCGCAAACATTACAATAAGTTGATAGTTATCCGTAATGTAATGCATGTTCTCATCTCAAACATAGATTTTATGTGTGTTCAGCCATATACAAAAGGGAATAAATTCAAGGAGTGATTGATCAAACTTCTTTATAAGTTTTATTAGAATCTCAGATGTTCCTTATGTTATACATTCAAATCTGAATAAATTGTCTCTTCCCCTTATCGAGTTTGCTTTGTAACTGTTAATTCACAGTCAAAGAGTATTCTTGTTATTTTACCTTACTGATTTATCGATGATGGCACGAATAGGTAATGTAATCGATATTGCATGTCAATTTAGAAGCACCGATTTGTTTACTATCTTATTTTAATAAAGCATACGTGTACATCATTATATTTACATTACGATTATACAGTACCTGTAAATGACTAAAAAATATTTGCAACTTCTTCAATTACAAATACTATATAACAATAATACCGTTAGGGTATGAGTTTCAACAGGACAACACTTTAAGTCACAAAAGCAAGCTCACGGGTGCTGGAGAATTGTAAAAGTCTATTTCTAAATATACTGTTTGTGATCTGGTTAGGGTATAATATTAATATTTTAATAAGACTTACCAGATCAAAGTTCCAGGCAAACTGTATGTTTTGTGACAGATAACGAGATTACTAATTAATTGCATAAAGTTCACGCACCCAACGAATCTGGCGGATCTGACTAGTGTTTATATAAATATCTAGTTGTATGAGCAGATATGAACACTTTGTCATTAATTTGATAAGCAAATTTAGATGCTCGCTAACTTCCGGTTTGCGAGATGTCTTTGCCTGTTTCTTTACCCACTTTGCATAATCAACGCATCGCCTTCTTTAGCCGGTGTCTCCTCTGACGAACGGGGTTGTTAGTGGGTAAGATAATTACCAAGCTTATAACATTCAGCAAAATAAAAAAGGTATTACTGATTGACACAAGCCGTTAAGTATACACTATTTTATTTCGGGCGTGTAGAATGTGTGTGGAATCTATTTCGGATTGTATACAAACATTGTGTGCATATAATTTAATTTCCCGGTAGAGAATGTACGGACTATTATTGCCAGACATCTGAATACACAACCGTAGAGGAACAGTATGTTAAATGAATAACAATAAAAAAAGGGGGGATTTATTTAAGTTATTTTAGAGTTACATACAAAAAATTAGTATCTGAATAATAAATAGATGTCCTATTAGTTATTCTATATGATTGTAGACTGATTGGACATGAGAGAAATAAGTTGATTTTAACGCGTACATGTCAATGTGCCGGTGAGAGCCGAACTTAGCGTCAATATAGGATCAATCTGTTGAACGAATAAGTAAAACACGACTCGCCATTTTTGCAATTATAAGGTTAAAATAAACTTTAAGATTCGTACAAGGTACAAGTAAGTAAGAGTTCGATGATATTTACCATCAGATTTATTATTGAGTACTCATACTTTTCGCCAGACATAAATAAACAAAAAACTATATGTGTTTCATTATACTATTTTGTTCAGAAACTTATTACGCCATTCTCAAGCAAAATCCCAAAGGAGCGTATAAATGAATTGATTGAATTCGGAATGCCGCTTGTTTTCTCATATCTTGTCACGTTTACTGCAAAGACAGTCTATCGATAGTCGAATTATTATCCGCTTCTAACTGAAAAAAAAGTTCTCCTTTGGAAGGATTGGGATAATTGCAGCAGAAGAGAAGCTTTGTCTTTATTTGTTATAAAATTATCCTTTTCAATATTTTGCTCAACCATCGAAGTTAAATATTCGACCACTGCTTCATTTATTGTTAATTCGGTACTCAATTTTGGAAGTAAGTCAACTTTAACTTGGTCCACTTTCAAAACTTTGCTTTCTCTGCGCGAAGCCTGTTGTGATATGTTGTTCATTTGTAATCTGCGCGTTACAAGTATGATGCTAAAAATGTGATATATAGTATACAAAAAATATAAAAACATGAGGGTCACATCTACTTTTAGGAGTGTCCAATATTCTCACTTGCCAACTTCAACAATCCACCCACTCATCAATTCCATTAACCATTCCACTACTCTGTTTGCAAGAATGTAAGCGCCGAAAACAGCACCAAACAATCCGTACACAATCAAAGATGCGAGTAGTATCAATCCCGTCGTGATTATTACAATCCCACAACCAGCGTTACCATTTGCACAATTATTAGCTCTGATGCCTTCTGCTTGATCCGACGTTGCGCAGCAAGTGAGAGGCATGCACAAAAAGAGGACTGAAGATGAGGAAGAGTATCTAGTTTCCAATGCGAGGTAGACAAAACCAATGAGGGAGATTATGCAAACACCACCGATAAAGTCGAGAGGTGATAAGGAAAAAACTGGCGTTGGTTCGTTCAAGCTCAGAATGGCTGGATCTGTTTATTTAAAAAATAAAGCGTAAGCCAACTATTATATGAATGCTCTTGGCAGACGTCTTTCAAGATTTCCCTGACAACAACTTACCATGCATTCCATTAGTAATCAAAAATTTAATCACAAAATGTGCAATAATGCTAGCTAATAAAACAGCAAATAATAATAGGATGGTCGTATAAAATTGTTTGCTTGTCCAATGTAATACAATCTTTGCCAATTTAGGGCGATATAGTCCATATTTGAAGCCGCACTTTTCGCATGGAAATGATACCGGTTGTGAATTGTTATTAACAGTATAATTGCAGGAGCTAGTTTGTGTATTCTGCCATTGTTCTAGACATCCAATATGAACATAATGATGAGACGTGCGGCATTTACATGGGGAGATTAGTGTTGATGATGATAACGGGGAAGAAACGACATGGGACAAGAATAAACTATGTGTTGGTTGTGTCTCGGAGAAATTATTGTTCTTGTGACATAATCTACATATTTTGAGTGTTTCTCGATTCCGTGTGGATGCGAATTCTGCATCTTTGTTCAAACCGCTTTCTATATCCAATGGGACTACGCTCATACTCTCTGTCTCAATATATCTATTACATTCTGTTGACTGTGTGTTCCTTGGATTTGGGCCACTGTCTGTGTTTGTTCGAGAATGCTCACGTATATTGACATCATTTGAGCAGTGGTGGGATGGTATGGATGTCGCAGTGGATGATAATGATGACGACTTTTGCATAAGTTGATTCTATTCGATATACGTCTCTTATGGTATGTAACGTTAGTGTATTTATATTCGAGTCGTCAATTATGACCCCCCGCCCCTCCCACTGTTCTTCAAGCCCTTTTTCACTTTAATAAAGTTGCCGAGGCTCAAAGTTTGACCTTCACTAACTAATAAAGCAAATCAATATTTGTGCCACAAACGGCCGAGTTATATCCGTGCCCGTTACGGTTTCCGCAGCTGGGTATTATCCAAATGTCATTGATTTTGGAAACTGCGGCCTATTAAATATTCCTTCAATTAGAGCGACCTACGTTGTAGAAATCAGCCATTGGATGTTCGAGTCAGATTGAAAAACTTGGTGATGCTGACATTTATTGCAAGGTAATTTTGATATGCTGTTTCAAATAGGGATGTTACCGACCCGTTCTGGAATTTGACCCGTTTCAAGATTGTTATACACTTTCGCAGCATCGCTTGCATAATGCTCATTCAATTCAGTTACGCTATTATCAATTCTGGTTATGGCAACAGATTTACTGTCGATATTAAACCGACATCTAAATTTA